TCTGAAATAGACAACAAGAGTTGTTCTTACATCGATATTCTCAATATAATTCAAGAGGAAAACCCACAAAAACTCATGAAATCACTATGTCATTACAATAAACTAACACTATATAATACAATTTTCTAACCCTAATCTACAGATCGCTCGTAGAAATGTCAAATGAATCGGTGTACAGTTTTGCCAACTCAAATCGATAACGCGGTCCGCCCATTTCGAAAGTTACTAGTATTTTTCGATGTGCAGTTTTGGCACGACATTGTTACCAAGTATTGCGCAACTATCAACCCAGCGTGAAAGCCCTATACCTACGAAATCGTGACGTCAGTTTTTATTTGCGGTAAATTTCTAGCCGTTTGAAAATTACCGTGGCATTATTGATGATTTTAGCAACTTGAAGTACCTACATCACTTGCTATCACACTATACCCGTTTACCGGCGTATCCAACCCTGTAGCGAGATGAAGAAATATAAGTACAAGCATATTTTTTCAGTGTTTGTTATATGTTGAAGGGAGATGTGTGGAATCAACGATACATTTTTTCCTGGTATGCGATAGTGGCGTTCAAATAAGGTAACAAATTTTCGTATCTGGAAGTTGGATGATCTGTGTCAATATTAGATTTGAAAGGGTCATATGAAATAACTATGAAAATATTGTGGACCAACTATTTCATATGCCCAATGAGTTTGACCTATTTCTAAATAGTTCCTCTTAGTAGAGTTTAAACGGGATCCTATCGTGCTATCCCGTGGGCACTTTGTTGCTAAAATGTAAAACCCATTTTTTATCATTCCTAAGACCTTTGCAATGCAAAATCACTTGGTCGTCCAAAAATCGTAGTAGGAGGGGAGTGGGGGGAGCCTTTTTTTTTAAAAAAGCCAATTTTTTTTTTCATCGGTTTTCAGATCTAAGATTTGAGATAATTCATTCCTCAAATTTGTATACCCATCCGGATATCAGAAATATTTTTTTTTCAATTTATAAAAATACGTCGCAGCATTGTTGTATATGGAGCGCCTTCACACAAAACCGCTTGCCCTGCACACCCATATTTTTAAAATCATTTAACTCGCTCTACCTCGAAAAGTATTGGGTCTAGCAAAAAGAGGTTTTCTATAAACGTTAAAGACCAAACATCAGAGAACATGTTGGGCTTTTTAGAATTTTGATTGGATAATTGGTTCACGAGAAAATTGAATAAATCGAACGGCATGTCGCGATGAACAGCGGCGACCGCAGAGACACGAGGAAGGGCGAGATTGCTATGCCTAAGTCAACCGAAAATCCACTCTACTGATGGCGATGTTGGTACGGTCGATTTTACCGTGACTTCACTGTTTTCTTGTAAATTCGAATGCATTGTTCTGGTAGCGCGGATTCCACTGAGATAACTAGTGATGAGTGATAAAGTTCTTGTCTATAAATCATATTATTAAAAGCGAATAATAACTTATTGGTAAGTTAACAATATTTAGAACTTACTTAGTGAGTATTAGGTACAGTCACTGTTTTTTTGTATCCTCTAGAAATGGATTTAACGAACAGCAGCAGCTCTGACAGTGAAATTGAGTCGAAAATCAAATTAAGACGTGCTTCTTTTCGTAAAACTTACAATGGACAAGACGTTTTCATTCAAAATGTGTGTCTTACTTGTTTGGAAGGAGGAAAGCTGGTTATCTCTCATGAAAAATCAAAAAAAAAACTTTCATTGAATGCACGAAAGAACGTATGACAAATTGTCATGATGACAAATATATGCGGCATATATTCTCAAAGTTTGATGATCTAGAAAATCGAAGTTTTAAAATGGCACAAAAACTGTTATAAATCGTATACGAGCTCAAAGAACATTGTCTCGTACAAGTCAAAAAATTACAAACTGACAGCTGATTTTCCAGCAGATTTTTGTAGAGCAGATATTTTTCAAAAACGTCCCTTGCGGACACCTTCTTGATTCAAAAAAGTGCGTATTTTGTCAGAAGCGATCACAGTATCAAAAACTAAGCCAAGTTATGACTCATAATATGCAAGAAAAAATAAAAACAATATCACGAAGTAACCCTGTGTTTTTTGCGAGAACTGGAGACAACGACTTAATTGCCTCGGAAATAAAATATCATGCCGCTTGCGTTTCAACAGAATTACGCAATCTCAATGAAAAATCGGTTGGAAATACTAATACTGAAAAAACAGAGAAACTTTTTGAGGAAATGAAGAAGGGTTTGAAAAAAGGTAAAGGATACAGCACAAAATCAATTGGCAAAAGATATCGTGAAATTAGTGGCATTGACGACATGAGTGAGAAACAAATAGTGAAAAAAATTAAATACCATTTTGGGGATGATGTTGAGTCAATAGTCTCCTAGACAAAACAAGCCCACAACATTCTTGAAGAAGTTTTCAAAAGAACAGGCAATTGAGACAATCGTGCAAAAGTTTCAGTTTCTTTTTCATTCTCACTTTCATTGCGGACAATAAGGTTAACAAGGTAGTACAAGCTTTCAGGAATATACTTTTTGTAGTCTCTATATAACATTAATTTTTAAAAAATCGGACTCAGTCGACATCTTCTTCATCTCACCTCGGATAGTTTGGCAGATTTTTACTAGAATGTGTTGCTCCGATGCACCAAAACTGAAACTAGGACCGACAGATTCGTCGTGGTTTTGCACGATTGACTCAATTGCCTGTTCTTCCGAAAACTTCTTCAAGAATATTGTGGGCTCGTTTTGCCTAGGAGACCTTATTGACTCAACATCATCCTCAAAATGGTATTTAATTTTTTTACTATTTGTTTCTCACTCATGTCGTCAATGCCACTAATTTCACGATATCTTTTGCCAATTGATTTTGTGCAGTATCCTTTACCTTTTTTCAAACCCTTCTTCATTTCCTCAAAAAGTTTCTCTAATGCTTTATCGTCTGTTTTTTCAATATTAGTATTTCCAACAGATTTTTCATTGAGATTGCGTAATTCTGTTGAAACGCAAGCGGCATGATATTTTATTTCCGAGGCAATTAAGTCGTTGTCTCCAGTTCTCGCAAAAAACACAGGGTTACTTCGTGATATTGTTTTTATTTTTTCTTGCATATTATGAGTCATAACTTGGCTTAGTTTTTGATACTGTGATCGCTTCTGACAAAATACGCACTTTTTTGGATCAAAAAGGTGTCCGCAAGGGACGTTTTTGAAAAATATCTGCTCTACAAAAATCTGCTGGAAAATCAGCTGTCAGTTTGTTATTTTTTGACTTGTACGAGACAATGTTCTTTGAGCTCGTATACGATTTATAACAGTTTTTGTGCCAGTATTGAAAAGGAATATTCTCAGATATATTATAAACATGAAAAAATGGATACATTTGAATAAATACATTGAGAATTCGCATTCTCTATGTGATGAAATTATTAATTCTTTCTCGGCATATTCAACAGAAAACAACTACTTTCCTGGCATATAGCCAGGAAAGTAGTTGTTTTCTGTTGAATATGCCGAGAAAGAATTAATAATTTCATCACATAGAGAATGCGAATTCTCAATGTATTTATTCAAATGTATCCATTTTTTCATGTTTATAATATATCTGAGAATATTCCTTTTCAATACTTTCATACCCAATCAAGGGGTTCAAACTTGAACGATGGAAACTTGTTATTTTTATAGACCTTCAATCGCAGATTCGTGATTGGGTTTTTCTCAATTCAGAATTTCTTTCCACGCCCTGTATGATAAATGTCAGTTTGTCATACATCTAAAACAGTTTTTGTGCCATTTTAAAAAACTTCGATTTTCTAGATCATCAAACTTTGAGAATATATGCCGCATATATTTGTCATCATGACAATTTGTCATACGTTCTTTCGTGCATTCAATGATAGTTTTTTTTATTTTTCATGAGAGATAACCAGCTTTCCTCCTTCCTAACAAATAAGACACACATTTTGAATAAAAACGTCTTGTCCATTGTCAGTATTACGAAAAGAAGCACGTCTTAATTTGATTTTCGACTCAAGTCATACTCAAGTTCACTGTCAGAGCTGCTGCTGTTCGTTAAATCCATTTCTAGAGGATACAAAAAAATAGTAACTGTACCTAATACTCACTAAGTAAGTTCTAAATATTGTTAACTTACCAATAAGTTATTATTCGCTTTTAATAATATGATTTATAGACAAGAACTTTATCACTCATCACTAGTAATCTCAGTGGAATCCGCGCTACCAGAACAATGCATTCGAATTTACAAGAAAACAGTGAAGTCACGGTAAAATCGACCGTACCAACATCGCCATCAGTAGAGTGGATTTTCGGTTTACTTAGGCATAGCAATCTCGCCCTTCCTCGTGTCTCTGCGGTCGCCGCTGTTCATCGCGACATGCCGTTCGATTTATTCAATTTTCTCGTGAACCAATTATCCAATCAAGATTCTAAAAAGCCCAACATGTTCTCTGATGTTTAGTCTTCAACGTTTATAAAAAACCTTTTTTTGCTAGACCCAATACTTTTCGAGGTAGAGCGAGTTAAATGATTTTAAAAATATGGGTGTGCAGGGCAAGCGGTTTTGTGTGAAGGCGCTCCATATACAACAATGCTGCGACGTATTTTTATAAATTGAAAAAAAATATTTCTGATATCCGGATGGGTATACAAATTTGAGGAATGAATTATCTCAAATCTTAGATCTGAAAACCGATGGAAAAAAAAAATTGGCTTTTTTTAAAAAAAAGGCTCCCCCCACTCCCCTCCTACTACGATTTTTGGACGACCAAGTGATTTTGCATTGCAAAGGTCTTAGAAATGATAAAAAATGGGTTTTACATTTTAGCAACAAAGTGCCCACGAAAATCTATTCTAGAAGCCTTTTGCCAGTCTATTTACTCTACTATCTGGACGACATTGTTGTCATATAACACGTCTGTAGTCATACGAATACCCACCTCGAATATAAGTAGATAACTACCTTCCTCGAATGATGTGTTATTTCGTATTTTCAGGCGAGAACGTGATATGTTACTACGAAGATGAACCTTGCCTTTTTCTTCAGGATTTCAAACCGTTTGATCTAGAGTCATGGTGGGGGAAAAGGCTATATGATTATGTCATCAGTTCAGAGAACACAAAGAGCTGAGTTATTGAAAATACCCGTACTATTTTCTTGTGTAAATAGTTTTTTTTTATGTTTTGATGATATCACTTTCACATTATCCTATATGAATTATCTGATATCAGTTTGTAGATAGTTTATTCTCTTATTTCAATACTTCAAATGTTTTACTGTTTTGTTGAATAAAATTGTTAAGAAAATCACGAATGAGGAAACATAATTTCTCATAATAGATACCTACAGGGTCCTCCATCTCACCTTCCGTCTTCCATTCTAAACCGTGCCGAACACTTGGTTGGGCAGAGAATATCAAACATTTGAAAGAAGTTTTTGGAACATATTTTGGTTATCCTAGGAGTATAATTTTTGATAATGGGTTAGCATTCACAAGCAGGTGTTTCAAACAGGTCCTCATTGAAAAACAAATCAAACATGTGATGACATCAGTAGCAACACCAAGATCCAATGGTGAAATAGAAAGGTATCATAGGACGCTTCTAGATGCTCTCAAAGCATCGGTTGATAATGAGTGTTATTGGGATTCTAAATTATCATATGTTTTGTGGGGAATGAATAATACAGTGAACAGTAGCACCTTATCTCCCTATGAATGTTTAGTCACAAAGCTAGACTGTTGAACGATATTGAGCAAAGTATGGATAATTACGATATCGATAACTATCGAAAGAAAACGACAATTAGCTTCTAATTGTCTTGAGAAACCAGCAACTGCGATGAAAGCCAGGTACGATAAAAAACGGAAACCGGCTCGAGTATACGAGTCCGGAGACTTGGTTCTATGGAATATTGGTATTTCTGGCAATTCGAAGGGATTGAGTAATGAAAGCCTTGGGAGGTGAACGGTATCAAATAAAAGGTACCGTGTGAAGGAAATGCGGGGATATAAAAACTATTCAGCTACATCAGTAGCAGTTGAATCTTTGAGACCATTTCATAGTTCGCATGGAAAAACTAATGATGAATCAGAATCTGAGGACTTGAAACAAACATGAGAGATCGAGATGACCTATAGATCTACTAGATGGTTAATGATATAGGTTATTAACAAAAAAAAGTCGGAACAGGACAGTTGATAATGACCTGTGTGCTGTATATGATATTCGTTTGGAGTCGGAACAGGACGGCTTATAATAGCCTGTGTATGATTCAACATAAGTCGACGAAATATTTTGAGATCACTTCGGCACTTACACAAAAAGTAGTAAGATCTCACATATAATCACTGAAGTTCCACAGAAAGTTTGCAAAAAGTGCCATAATAACGCGAGAAGTGGACCAAAATGCGTCAACTGCAGAACGATCATCTATCTAGGATGTGTAAAATACATTTGTGGCACCCTGTATTTTTGTATTTTGATAGTGAGTTATGTTATGTCAATTTGTTGTCAATTATTAAAAAAGTAGAATTGAAACTTGAATTAGTCCAACATCTGGTGACCCCGAAAGAACATGGTTCTACTTATACAAAATATCAAAAAAGAGCAACTGCTCAATGTACTGCAACATTTCAAGTTACCTTCTGGTGGAACGGTTTCCGATATGAAACTAACTCTGGAAGGTTTCATAAGAGAAAAGTATCCAGATTTGAAGAATCCAAATGATTTCGATTATTCCGACATACTCGAAGAAATAGAGCAGAATACAAACCATGATAAGGATAATATAGATCGTGAAATGTCGCTCTTGTCAACGAAAGTCAACAATTTGGAATATTTGTGTGTACGTTTTCCAGAGAAACTTGAACATTTGGAAAATTTGATGAAAACATTCATAGAAAATTCTGTGCCAAGAATTGACAATATATTGATCAACCATCTACCTCTTCCTCAAACATTTCAAATCAGAATGAAAACCTCGAAATTCAATACAATCGCATGAAATCAGTTACCCTACCAGTGTTTTGGAAACATGAACCTGAACTTTGGTTCAATGCGGTGGAAAAAGTTTTTGACATTAATGGAGTTCATTCGGAGAAGGTAAAGTTTGGTAAAGTTATTTCAATGTTGGACTGTACATTAGCCAAGGAAAATTCTAATTTATTCAAACTTCAGAATGATCCCAATGCATATCAAATGTTAAAACAACAGCTCATTAAAATGTATCAGATTTCTGCAGAAGAAAAGATGATCAAACTCTTTGCTGAGTGTGAACTAGGTGATAAAAAACCAAGCCAACTGTACAGAGAGATGACTGATCTAGCCTCAGGTCAAATGACCAAACATTTTATTGTATTGGCATGGCTCAAAAAACTTCCACAAACTGTCGAACAACTGATTCGCGCTTTTCAAGAGAAATTATCCGACGATGAAAGGTAAAGAGAAAAACGTTTCCATTGATCGACTCAAGCCCGCGTTTTTAGAGAACGACATGAAAAAAGGAGAAACTGGCACTTCACCTACAGTTGAAATCAACCGATCCAGGAAAAAAGTGACATTCTCGGAGGACAAAATAGTGTATCGTTAACACTTGGGGGGGAGTAATGTGGCACCCTGTATTTTTGTATTTTGATAGTGAGTTATGTTATGTCAATTTGTTGTCAATTATTAAAAAAGTAGAATTGAAACTTGAATTAGTCCAACACATTTACTAAATGGAAATACTGGACAAGAACTTGATAATTTGATTTGATTTGTAACTGTGAAACAAAATTGAAACAACCAACCATATATATGTCGACTACAATGGATGTTTCATTCTGCAGTCTTCCAGACCCGAGAGACCATAATGCTGACGAAGGGAAAATGGAAATGAAAAATGCCTACTGTTATGATTCATCGAATTTACCATATATATTTGTTGAACTCATTATATATAGGTACTTACTCAGCAATTTGCGTGATAGCGGCGCAGCGAGGCATTACATCAGCATAATACATTATAGTATAGGGCTTCTGTAGCGTTAAGATTATTTTATTTAGGTTACTGAAAATTAGTGAAACTATTGATATTATTCAAAAGTTCAAGTCAATTCATTCATTCGCCAACCGCCATCAAGGAAACGGACATTGTTATTACGAAATATACACTTGCAAATTTACCTCTAGTTCTTTCTCAAGAATCTTAATAACAAATCGAAAGTGCGGACATACGTAGGTATTGAAAATTAGTGATAACGCGAACCTCACCACGCAGGTGAACAAAATTCTGACGAAAACTATCGACAACGGAAAAGTCGCGAAATAACGTGAAACAAAAATGAGGAAGAGTGCAGAAAGATCGTCTAGAGTTCGACTAGCAGTACTAGCACTAGTGGCAGTGAATCATACGATTCCTGCGCGCCAGGAAAAAAAAAAAAAGGAATTGAAGATATCATTGCTTGAAAAGTGCAGGCTATTATCGGACACATTCAAATACCGATCAATTATTTTTCTCAATGCGAGTTGGTGCCGAATTTTGATCCGGAAGCTCTGGCGATATAAACGCCATGACGTGACTCAATAAAAATGAGCAGTTAGCTCTGATATACAGCCCAGATAGCACAATGTCATTCATAGAACGTTCATAGAATAGTCTTCGAGAATATTTGAATATTCTCACATGATACAAATATACTAGGGATGTTTTATGAACATTCGGAATGGACTGTTTCAAATTTCTGAGAATATTCCTAGTATATTGAAGGAGAATGAAGAAGATTAAAAAAAGCTTGCTCCGATGAAGATGCGAACCTATACTATCTTGTGATCGAATTTTGAGGAACCTAAACCTTAACCACTTCGCCACGAACCTTATTGATGAAAAAAAATTGATATAGCAAGATGACAACACTGAATATTAGTAGGATAATAAACATTGAGGCTAGAGATTACTATATAGGTTATGTCAGGGTAAACATTTATGAATATTAATACAAGAATAGGAACATCAATATCATTTATTTTGATACGATAATATGCTCAGAACATTCAAAAAGAATATTCTGAGAATATGTCAAATAGAATGTTCATAGCTAGACTGATTTGAAGAAATCCTACTTTTTGCAAACGAAGATAGCTCGAATGGCCAAAATTTGGTACAATGTGCTTTTCCGTCACACGCATATTTTGTTGATAATTGGAAGAAAATGCTCTATAGGAATAAGGGAACAACAAAGAAAAGTATGCTTCACTATAAAGGTCATATAATATAATATGGTAATATGGACTTGAAGTTCAATAACGATATAAGAACCTCGCACAGTTATTTCAGAGGAGAAAATGACGCTTGGAATAGTTATGTCATTAGGTCGTTTATCAATTATATTGAGAAAGAAACAATGACTCAGAATACACAAGTCGATATTTCTCCAGAATTATGCACAAAACATCACATCTAATACTCTCACAAGACTTCTGACTTCTCTTCTCACGACTTCTCACAACTTACCGTGAGTTACCGTTGCGGCAGTATTCTTCCAAAAAAATGGCTACGTAACTTACGGACAAATATTTTTCTGAAATTATGGCATTAATTCACCATAATTATACAGTCTGTCCAAGATAAGGTTGAACAGCATGGGGATCTCGAAAACGGTAAGAGATACGAAATCGGTTAAATGGGGAAAAAGTTGCGCATTCGGAGGCTCATATCAAGAGCCTTCGAAAATTTTGAAAATTATTTTTAGTTTTTGAGTTATATCGAAAAAAGTGAATTTTTGGAATTTCTATTTTATTTTTTTCTCCGTTATTATTAGAGATACAGCAAAACTGAGAATACTTTTGATGACGGTCAACGTGGTGATACCGATTTTTTCATGCGACGTTTCGTATTCGTGGAACCATCATCAACTTTTGTTTTTTAAATACGGTCCTGATAATTTTTTCACAGATTCTAAAAAGTTTTTTCATTCTGAATTCAACCATGTATTATACAAGGTGGTTCATTTGTGTTTCGACCTATTTTTGGTCATCATCAATGTTTTTTCGAAACTCCAAAGGAAAAATGCCATCAGTTCCACTTATTTTGAAGGAGAATTAGTCAACACACTAATACCTCATCAACTGGTTCCAATCAACAACCCATTTCATTTTGCGGAAACAAAAATTCCATCGATACAAATTCAGAATATGTCAAGCGCTAAAACCAGGCGATGACGAAAGGCGCAAGACAATCATCTGGACTGATGAAAGCATGGTCACTAATCATGGTAGCTTCGATAGAAAAAATACACATTATTGTTCACGAGAAAATGAACATTTATACATTAC